CACACACACACACACACACACACACACACACACACACACACACACACCACCCAGCAAGCGCGCGCGGGCATGGCTGTCAGATCTGGGCCGTTTTCAGGGAGGCATCCCTCATCCTGCTGCCTAGGGCAGGTCACCAGAATAGGAGCCAATTGGCTTGAGCCCCAGCAAGCATTTCAAACACCTGCAGCCCTTCCTGTTCCCCGGTTTGGTGCCCCCAAGACAGGGAGACTTGCCCTGAAGGCCAAGCGTCCCCACATGCCGAGGACGTGCTCACTGCAGAGCAGAGTGGCATGCTGGGCTGTGGCTGCCCCCCAGGCCCTGCAGCCTGAGGATGGAGCACCCTGTGGGGCCGGGGAGGGGGGGTAGGCAAGCTCCCTGGAGAAGTCCTCTGACTTGAGCCCATGTGTCTCCTTCCAGGAACATGGGTGACCTTCGGAGGCCAGATCACCGATGAGGTAAGGCGGGGCTCCCGCAGGCCCCAGATCCCAGCAAAGGCTAGCCACAGCGGGCACCTGGTAGAGTCCACCGCACGAACCACGGGCCCGTGCTCACAGGGCCACCACAGCCTCCCTCGTCCCACTCCTCAAGGGTGCCATGGCCTTCTGGGGCAGCAGGAAGGGTGAGGGGGGGAGCCATGGCAGGGTTAAAAGATGCCAAATCTGGTGCCTGCATTTCACAGCTGGGTGCCTTGGGGCACCTGTGAGTCCCCAAAAGGCCCAGAAACTCAGGTTCCTCATCTGTACAACGCTTAGTCCCTCGCTAGCCAGGAAAATCCAGGGAGGCCATTGTTTCCCAAGTCACACAGCCCCGTGTCTTTCTAAACTGCTCGGACAGAGTACCCCGACGCGGATTTGAAACTTCAGTACACGTCTGCTGAGGCCATTTAGGATGCAGATTCTGCAAATTTTGCTGCAAGCTGAAGATTCTTGAGTCGCTTTACCCAGCCCCTAGCTGCTCCTTTCCCACAGCTGCCCTTTATCCTGTGCACTCGCTGGGGCTCCTCTTTTCACAGCCGGGCCGGTGTCGCCAGCGTCTGTGGGGGAGGGGCCGGCGCATCCCCAGGCCGGGGTGCACTTCTGGGCAGCGAGTGATTATCTGGGAAGGGAGAGCAGGGGCATTTGCTCCAAGAGCTCTGGACATCTGCACACGAAGCTGTCCTCACGTCTGCCCTACTTACTCTCAGAAAGGTTGCATTTAAAAATTAATAAGTGTGTTCATCTGAGACCTTGTTAGCTGTGATTTCTCAGTTAGTTTTCAAAGGAAAAGCTTTGCTGCTGTCAAAATCTAAATGTATTTAATTTGTGCTTTTGTCCCTTTTTCCTTCTGTGACAGTAGCTGGTTGTAGAATGCCTTGCCCTTGTTCTGAGGTTCTGGCTCTGGACTATCTCAGGAGAAAGGAGTTTTTGAGGTGCAGGAAATTGCTTTGCCTTTAGCCACCAGATTGGTTGCAAGCACTTGGCACAGAAGGTTGGAGCCCCGGAGTCCTTTGTGGTTCACCTGAAATCAGTAGTGTCTGACTCACCTGTTTCCCTTTCGCTGTGGGGAAGAATGACTTCATTTCCAAATCGCATTTGCTACCCTATGTGTGTGATGCCCTTGTGAGAAAGACACAGAGAAGTGGCTGGATGGTGACCATCCAACTTAGGTGATTTGTTTCACCAACAGATCCATTGCACCCAAAGAGTATTGATTAATGACCCAGTGGTGGTCCTGGTGGCTCCAGCCTCTGCCGGTCTCCATCACGTAGACAGTGACACATGTGAAGATACCAGAAGTTGTTTCCAGATGACACAAAGCTGGGAGGACAGCAGATACAATAGATGACAGACTCGGGGTTCTCAAAGGTCCTGGCAGGTGAAAATGATTGAGTGAAGGAGCAAGCAGAATTTTCGTATTAAATCCTACAGTCAGCGTCCAAAAAAAATCAATACGTCAAGGATGAGAGGCCCACCTCACCACGGTTCAGATGAAGAACGGCCACGTTTTATTCTTTTTTTTTTTCAAAGACTTTATTCATTTGACACAGAGAGAGACACAGAGAGGGAACACAAGCAGGGGGAGAGGGAGAAGCAGGCTCCCCACGGAGCAGGGAGCCCGACGCGGGGCTCGATCCCAGGGCCCTGGGACCACGACCCCAGCCGAAGGCAGACGCCCAACGACTGAGCCACCCAGGCGCCCCAAGAACAGCCACATTTTATTCTTTAGCTGGCTGCCTGCCCTGTCCAAGCCAGCAGGGTTGGAACTACGGGGAATCCAGGACCATCCCGGGGCCACAGAGGAACGTGTGTGCTGCCCCAAAGTGGGGAGGCCACGAGCCCCCTGGGCATTCCAGATGGGTGCCCCATCTGGAACACTGGGTTCCTTGCTAAGCCCGTGTCCAGAGGAAGGCGGGTGGCCTGCCAAGAAATCCAGAAACAGAGTCCTGTTTTCAGGGTTACCTTTTGTGTGCAAGACACCGTGATGCCAGGGAGACACAGTAGTGAGGACGGGCTGGGCGCCTGGGTGGCGCAGTCGTTAAGCGTCTGCCTTCGGCTCAGGTCATGGTCCCAGGGTCCTGGGATCGAGCCCCGCATCGGGCTCCCTGCTCAGCGGGAGGCCTGCTTCTCCCTCTCCCACTCCCCCTGCTTGTGTTCCCGCTCTCGCTGTCTCGCTCTCTGTCAAATAAATAAAATCTTGAAGAAAAAAAAAAGAAAGAAATGAGGACGGGGTGGATTTAATGTGGCAAAGGGGAGTCCGTGGCAGGACCCCGCAGGTGTCCATGAGCAACGGTCCACAGGCCAAATCCGGCCCTCAGCTTCGTCTTTTTTTTTTCTTTTTTGTTTGTTTGGTTTTTTTACTTTTAATTAAATATACAAGACATAAAATTGGCTATTTTCACCCTTTTCATTGTGGTAAAAAACTGCATAATGTAAAATTCACCCTATTAACCATTTTTAAGGGTACAGTTCCTGGTATTAAGTACATTCTCTTTGCTGTGCAGCCATCAGCACGGTCTGCCTCCCAGAAGTTTTCATCACCCCAAACAAAACTCTGTACCCATGAGGGAACAACTCCCCAACCCCTGGTAACCTCTGCTCTGCTCTCTGTCTCTATGAATTCCACAACCCTTTTTTTTATAAATAAAGTTTTATTGGCAGGCAGCGACGCCCATTCATTTACATATGGTCTGTGGCCGCTTTTCCGTCATAAGCTGCCACAGAGACCATCTGGCCCACAAAGACTAAAGTGTGTAGTCTCGGGCTGTTGCCTGTCCCCTGTCTGCAAAGGTCTGTGGGGCTGTGGCCCTGGGGACGGAGTCCTTGGGGGCCGGGCAGAGCAGAGCCAACCCCCAGAGGAAGCAGACACTGTTAGTAAACCTCCGATCACGCGGCCAAATGTCGGAGCTGGCCTGGTCAGAGTCAGGTTTCCAACCTCTAGTCCAGTGTCCTTTTCGTGACCTCACATGGCTGCTCAAGTAAAAAAAACTCCTGAGAGCATGTGCTCAGAGCAGCCTGGGCATTAGAAATCTAATAAGGACAGTAGCTGCAAACTTCACATTTATTATGGCACTCGGCCCTCTATCAACCCCGGGAGGCAGGTGCCATTGCCCCATTTGGAGGAAGCAAAGTGCCCGGGGTCTTAACTGGAGACTCATGAACGGGGAATGGCCCCTCGGCGCCTGCCTCAGAGCCCACAGACAGCTCCCAGCTCGGGGGTGGGATGGATTCCCCTGGCCCCCAAGTAGGGACGGCAGGGAGGAGGCCCACATGTCTTCTAAATTTCCTCCTGCCTTTGTTTCGGGAACTTTGACATTGGAAAATTCCGAACAGTCTCAAAATAAAGGCTCCGTCACATCAAGTAGGACGCACCCACAGAGCGCAAGTCTTTAGGGGTCGCGTTTTAAAGAATGACATGCGGACAGGCCCAGGAGCGAGCATGTGGAAAACAGCGCCGACTGTGGTCTGTATGTGAGGGCTGCAGTCTTGCAGCGAAAAAGCATATGTTCACATAGAAAAACCTGAAAGGGGGGGCCCCTGGGGGGCTCAGGCAGTTGAGCATCTGACTCTTGATTTGGGCTCAGGTCATGATCTCAGGGTCGTGAGATCGAGCCCCACGTCGGGCTCCATGCTCAGCCAGGAGTCTGCTTGAGATTCTCTCTCTCTCTCCCTCTGCCCCTCCCCCCTCCCCCCACTCATGCTCGCACACGCACACGCGCACGCACACGCACACTCTCTCTCCACCCCCCCCACCTCTGAAATAAATAAATAAACCTTTAAAGAGAAGCCTGGAAGAGGAATTATACCAAAATCATAGCAAAACAATAAAACAAAAAGCACAGCATGGAAAACTCCCACCCCTCACTCTCTTTTCTCCCTGGCCCGGTGTAGTTAGGATCGTGTTTCCGTCTTTCTGCTAAGTGACGGGCGAAATGGGGATGGGTATCCTCGGTGTCAGAGCCTGCTGATCTTTCCTGTGTGGCAGGCCTCGCGGGGTCGGCTGGTGGAGCCAGCCAAGGACAGTGGCCGCTCAGCTCACGCTTACTGAGCACCTGCCAAGTGCCATCCCTGCTGTGGGCTGCTCTCTTTCGGAGAGAGGGACAGACAGGAAGCACATCCTATCTCCCAGGGCTAGACATGTCCAGTGGCTGCATTAACAAATTGCCCCCATCTGTGTGGTTTTAAAACTAGAGAAATTTATTTTCTCATAGGCCTGGAGGTCAGAAGTCCAAAATCAGGATCACAGAGCTGAAACCAAGGTGTCAGCAGGGCCGCACTCCCAGTGGAACCTCTGGGGGAGGAGAGTGGGATTCTCCCACGCCTCCTCCAGCTTCCGGTGGCCACTTCATTCCAGTGTCTGCCTCTGTGGTCACGTTCCTGCTCCTCTGTGTCCCATCTCCCTCTGCCTCCCTCCTATAAGGACACCCGTGGTGGCATTCAGGGTCGCCCTGATAATCCAGGATCATCTCCCATCTCAAGACCCTTCATGTTGTCACATCTACAAAGACCCTTTTTCTACCCAAGAAGCCATTCACAGGTTCCAGGAGCCGTTGTTTAATCAAACACAGAGAAAGGAGGACGGAGGTGCAGGCTCCCATTTATGCAGGAGGATCAGGGAAGGCGGAAGGCAAGAGTGAGCCATGTGATGATCCAGAGAGAGAGCATTCCGGGCCAAAGGAACGGGACTGGACCCAGCCTCCAAGAGCCCACAGGAGGAGCCCCAGGTTGAGAGAGGGGGGCAGAGGTGAGGGAGTAGATCTGGTGGGGACCTTGGCTTTGACCACTTGTGACATGGAAGCCAGAGAGGAAATCTGACCTGACTTCACTCAAAAGGCTCACTCTCGCTGCTCCACTGAGGTTAGGCTGCCCCCCGAGGATGAGGGGTGCTTCTCAAATTGGAATGTATGCACGAGTTCCCTGGAAATCTAGTTCCCTAGAGTTAGGGGCTACCACAGAAACCCAGCTGAGGGCATTCTGGCTCGGACCAAGTGGGTGCAGTGGAGGCGAGGGGCAGGAGGGTCCGATTCTGGATCAGCTTCAAGAGGGAGCTGACAGGACTGGTCGAAGGTGCTGATGCCAGAGTAAGAGAAAGATGAATGAAGGAGATGCCCAGGTGTCGGACCTGAGCACAGGACGGGCGGGATCCTGCACGCTGCCCTCCTCCACACACACCAGCCTCTCTGCCTGCAGCACCCCCTCCTCCAGCCACTCCCCGCCTTCCTGCCTGACAAACTCCTACCCACCCTCCAAACCCAGCCCTAGAAATGCTCACACACACTACAACATGGATGAACCCAAAAGGCCTCATGTTAAATTCATTAAGTCGGCCAGTCACAGAAAGACAAATACCGTATGACGCAACCCAGGTGCGGTAACAAGGGAGTCAAAATTCTGGAAACGGAGAACAAATGGGTGGGCACCAAGGGCTGGGGGAGGGAGGAGTGGAAAGTTGGTGTTTCATGGGGACCAAGTTTCTGTTTGGGAAGATGGAGAGGTTCTGGAGACACGCACTGCTGATGGTTGCACAACATGAATGTCCTTAAATGCCACAGAAATGCACACCTAAAAATGGTTAAAATGGTCAGTTGTGTATTATGCATGGTTTACCACAATTTTTAAGTTGTTGTAAATAATTTTTTTTAAAAAAGAATGAAGATCTCCATGAACTAATATGGGTTGATTTCTAAGATGTAGTGTAAGTGGGAAGAGCAAAGCCCAGATGAACACCTAGGGCGTGCTGTTCTCCAGGTAAGCAGGAGGGGTGTATAAGAAGATACACAGGGTCTGAAACAGGAAGATAATAATAGCCCTCGTACTGAGTCACCTCCTCCCAGAACCCTTTCCAGGAGGCAGCACATACCCCTAAATCGTCTGTATAACCTGGCTAGGGGCCCAGCACGGCGTGCTGTCCTGTGCAGAGGTCAGGGGCTTGGTGAGACACAGCCCTGAAAAGTCAGGTTGAAGACGGAGATGAACAGGCGAAGGAGCCTGGGGTGCCTGGAGCATTGGAGAGGATAAAAGGAGGCCCGGGGTGGGTATGGGAGGAGGAAGAGGCTCCCAGGAGTGTGCATGGATGCATCTGATACATGGTCACACTTGGAGGAGGGTGCATGGATGCATCTGATTCATGGTTACACTTGGAGGAGGGTGCATGGATGTGTCTGATACATGGTTACACTTGAGCTCCGATGGAGCCAACCAGCCCTGCAGATGGATCCAGAAAATTCCTCCACCAGTGGCCTTTCTTGCCCCTGGGCTTTCTGACTGAAATGACAGCTGCTAACTAATGGGGGTTAGCTTTGGCCTGCTCAGTATCAGAAATCTTTGGAGTTCAATGCCAGCATTTGAAAATCGGGAGATTTTTACCACCCCCAAATACCCTGGATCCCTGGCTTCTCTTGAAAAATCAAAAGATGTAGCCTCGCTGAGGTGCCTTCCCATGGGTAGCGATTGAGTGTTGGTCCCCCCCACCCCAGTGGTCCCCACTGGCCACCAGCCTCACTCTCCATACCTGCCTGGCCCATGGGGCGGGCTTCTGAGTTTGGTATTGAGAGAATCTCCACGAAGCCAAACATGGCTGGCTTTTCGTCCCACAGTTTTTTGAGCGTTGTTAAGTATGACTCACTCCACTCTGGGTAGCTGGGGAGGGAGGCTTGGCACTCTGGGCTGAGCTTTGAGAAGTGAAGGGCGGGGGAGTTTGCATCTGTGACTCTCAAAGGGGCACCTACACCGTCCAGAGGACCAGCAGAGATCCCTGCTGCATCTTGGAGGGGCTGTTCGTAGCAGGGGGCGCTTCCTCCGGCTGCTTGATCCTCACCCCCACTACCAGTGGGTCATTGCTGGGGGAGCGCAAACTCATCCTTAGAGCAGCCTGAGGAGCAAAATCTGGTGGAAGGCGTGTGCCGATTGGGCACCATTCATCAGCCTCTGCCTGCCAGGCAGTGGAGAAGCGCCTGCCGAGGCCAGAGTGCTCGCCGAGGATGGCAGTTTCTCCATCTGCAAACAATAATCGTACCGTCCCCGTCCCCATGTGGCTGCTGGGAAGGAATCGGGGACATATAGCCGCAGAACGCCTTCTAGCCATAGTTTTAAGGAGGGACTCGTTCTGCCAGGACCTCTCCCACTCCTGTTGGGGGCTGTGCTCAACCCAGTACAGAGGCTAAGCTTTGTAATGACTCCCCAGTCGGGGTCCCTGCTCGCATCAGACTCACAGCCCAGAGGCCCTTCCTTCATTCACTTTGTCCTCTTTCCTCCCTGTGTGGGTCCACTCCGGAGGGCTGCCTCCACATCTGTCCCGTGGCAGGAAGGGACAAGGGGAGCCCTGGGGGTGCAGGGCCTGGACACGCAGGAGGCACCCCAGGCCACAAGAGGCCCTGGAGCCTCCCCCTGGCCTGGCAGGGCTGTGCTGCCCGCAAGCAGCTCTGGTTTTCTCATTTCAGATGGCGGAGCAGCTAATGACCTTGGCCTATGACAATGGCATCAACCTCTTCGATACTGCAGAAGTCTACGCGGCGGGCAAGTACGTGTCTTTTCTCCTGGGGACGATGTGGTGCAGGCCACGGCTTCCCTGGGAAGAACCAGAGCTGCAGCTGCTCCGGTCCTTGGTCCCAAGCGTCCACAAATGTGCCTCGCACTCTGCCTGCTTTTTTAAACTTTGAATGGCCTTAGAAGGTGTTGTTTTCACGGGGCCAAAATTGCAGGACACTTGGACACTGGCCACTTGCTAAACTCCCCCGTGTGTCCGAGCACCGAGATGACCCCAGTCCCTCCGGTGCCTCAGATGCCGTGCTGGGCAAGAGCCAGATCGGGCTGCGGTCCCAGGCTCTCCCACTTGTCTAACATTCTTACGTCTTAATGGTACCGTGAGGGCTGCAGGGAACGCAGGGCCTCTCGAGCTGCTGCGGAGAGCTGAGTCTGGCCAGCCGAGCGCTGTAGGAAGCACTTCCCATCTTGGCAGTGAACTTCCCTCCTCAATTATGTAAAAGCCCTCTTCAGCCAAGGCTGCTGGCTTCAATTTTAAAGACTAGCTGTAATCAAATCATCCACTCTCCTGCATCGGGTTTCCAAAAGTCAGCTTTTGTTTGTGAAGTCATCTGTTGGCTCTCTGTTCGTCCTCCCTCTGGTCCCTCCTGCCTGGGGCGAGCCAAGTTCCCATCAGCTGGCTTGGCTGCAGCCTGGCTGGCTGTGCACCGTGGTCTCGGGGCCGGCACCTGCCTCGAAGGCGCTGGGTTTTTACCTGCAGCTTGAGATGGGGCCCGGAGCACTGAGAATCAGGAAGCCAGCCGGGCCTTTTCTCAAGTCCCATCGCAGGGTCTGAGGACCTGACAGCTCTGGGGGACCTCCACCGGGAGCCCCAGATTTCCTCCAGCCCCTATCGGCAGCCCTCTGCCCCTCCTGATGCCATAGCCCCCTCCCAAGCCCTCCATACTGAGAGCCTCTTCCCATCAAAGTGAAATGCTTTCCAGACAGATGAACTAAAGCCAGAGGGTCAGAGGTAGAAAAGCCCAACGCACATGCCCAGCCCACGGGCATTGCCGGGCCTCAGCACCCCAGCCCATTCCCTGGCCCTGCTCCTGCCTCGGTTTTGCCGCCTATGAGAGCATGCAGGAGGCAGCTCCGTGCAGCCTCCTCTGGCCCCAGACGGCCCAGCCCGTGTGCACCAGCCCTGCATACTCCACACTCTGTGTGCCCATCTTCACTTCCCCCTGATTAGGGGTCCCCCTGAACTGGACCCCCCGGACTGGCGTATCAGTACTAGGCAGCCTCGCCAGCAGCCGAGGACTCAAGAGAGCAGCTTCCCGTGGGGCGTTGCTGCCCCTGGAGCCCGCGGCCCTCATCCGGCCCTCCACTCTTCCTTGGGCCCCTGCGGCTCTTTCTCAGTCCAGCCCGGAGCTAGACCTGCCTGCTCACCCCCAGCAATGCCTCGGTGCCAGCAGTCATCCACAGGGGAGGCTGGGCACTGTGTACCAAGGGACGGGCAGGGAGGAGCTCTGGGCAGGGGGCTGCGAGGCAGCTCCAGTGGCTGGCGGGCCAGGCACCGTGCCTCTTGCTCACCAGAGTGCCAAGGGCATATTCTGCTGAGCCCCCTGCTTCTTATGCTGATGCTAATCTGGGCACTTACAGAGAGCCGCGGGATTTCTGTGCCCCCCGCCCCCCAGCAGATGTCAGGCTTACCAAATTCAGGGCCAGAGGAATTCATAGCCACAAGCAACAGGCTGTGGTTAGCTGATGGTCTACAACGCCCCAGGACCACTGCTTGCTTTTCTCCCTCCTTTCCTGATCTTTTTGTCCCACAAATGAGGGACCAAGGAGTGAAAGGAAGAGGCCCAGGGCTGAGTGAATTTCTGTACCTCTTGACCATAAATGAAGAGCGTTCAGAATGTATGCCGAACAGCTTGCAAATTAGAGCCCATTATTTCTGAGTGGATGACTCAGGCACTTTTATAATTGGAATGTAGCACTGGGTATGGATCATTCTCCGTCTGTTGTTTTTGCTCAGAAACATTTTGCTACAAGCAGAAAGTTCTTAAAAGTTAATCCAGCACTGCAGTGCCAAGCAAGGCTGGAACAGCCCGCCCATGACCCCGGCTAGGCTGAGTTGAGTTTGGTGCAGGGCCAGAGTAATGCCAAAAAGAACAGAGAGCAGTCAGCATGGCATCTGTCTCTCTATTGTTCAAAAGCAAGAAACAAGAGAGACGCATGTACCCACACCCATGAATGCACGCGCAGGCACACACGCACACGCACACACCCATGCACGCACTCTGCTGGAAATTCAGCCCCTGGCCCTGAATACATGTTGATTGTCTCTGAAAAGAGAGGATGCACTTGATGAATAATTTACCTTTTAGAAAAAATTCTCTGGAAACTTTGCCCACGTAACATTGCCAAACATTTCCCCCGGTGAGTTTCCAGCAGGCCAGGGAAATGGGATGCTGCTGGCCTTGCCAAGCAGGACATCAGCTCCTCTCTTCTCTGTGAGAGCTGGAGTCACTTCTGCTGAGACAGGCGCCCAAAGGGGCACCACCCACGGCCACCTTCCTGGGAAATGACAGCCTCTTGCAAGCTCTCTCCTGCCTGAGCCAAGAGGAGCATCATTAACAGGCTGGCCCTCCAGCCTCGGTGGCATTTTCACAGAGGGGACCAAGTGACCCGTTGTCATGGGAGGGAGAGGTTTAATATTTCTGTCACGCTGTAATGAAATGCCCATGTCTCGGTCTTTTTTTGCAGGGCTGAAGTGGTATTAGGAAACATCATCAAGAAGAAGGGATGGAGGTAATTAGCCTGTTCTCGCTGGGTCAGTGTCCAGGGTGCACACAGGGGAAAGCCCGGGGCAGGCTGGAGGGAGGGAAGAGGGCACCGAGAGGGGCAACCACGCGTGCCGGGTCGCGGGCGTGCACTGGCTCGGGCCCCGCTGACATTCCTGCCTCTTTAGCAGGGGAGTGAGTGCTCAGGGCTGGCCAGTCCTTCAAAAGCCAGGAAGGCTCAGAACTTTTCTCACCAGGAAGGGGAGAATGTTCCAGAGTAGAGAGCAGCCCTGTGCTCCCTCCAGGGGGAGAGAGTATTCACACTCTGACCTCCACCTCTGGTCCAGCAGGGATTCAGAGGGCCGAGGTCCCGGGATGCACACTGACATGTGTTAGGCCAAAAAAGATCTAGACGTGAGGACTTCCCGGGCGGCCTGGGGAAAGCAGAGGGTGTAGCTGCTCAAGAGACGGACAGTCCTTCTTTGCGCTTGGAATCCAACCCTTTCTCACTGTCCCTGCCTGGAAAGGGACCACTGTCTGCGCTCCCTGGCAGGGCTGTTCTGGGGCTCAGGGGCCCGAGTCTGTAAGACACCTACGCAGCTCGAGGCTGGACATCACACTCATCCGGGGAGGGGCAGCCCTGTGACTGGTCACCACAGCCCCCCACCATGTCCCCCCACCCACCCCTAAGCTGCTCAGAAGCCTGAGGTCCCTTGTCAGACAGGGTTCCCACCTTCCTTGGGACAGACTGGGCTGGGCACTTACCCACACTTTGGGACCCCTTAGGGCCCACGTGTATTTTCAGGAACAATAAAAGCAGCTATAAGGCTGGGCCCACCCCCCACCCCTCAGCCCCTGGGCACAGATGAATGACACCCCTCTTTTTGCCCCCAACAAAGTTGTTTGTTTCTTCTCGGCTCTAATTCATCACAAAACAAATCCTCCTCACTCCATCATCAAAGGAAATTGCACATATTACTGAGTGCCCTGATTATATCTTAGGCGAATACACAGGCCACCACCCCCCCACCCCCCCCCCCCCCCCCACCCCGTCCCCAGCCTGGAGATGAAGCTCAAGGGGAAATACAGCTTCTGGGCTTTGAGAAGCTGTTTCCGGGGCAGCCCCCCAACCCCCACGGGAGGAAAGCACATTGGCACCTCCCCCCACTTTGGGAAGGGTCTCCGTCAGAGGTGGCCTGCAGGGGCCGCCCATCCCGCCAGGACCGGACAGGTGTCAGCACTTGGCTCTCGTCCATTCCTTTCCCTCCAGGCTCTCTATCACCCAAACCCCAACTCCCTCTCACCCAGGGTCCTGCCCCACCCAACTGTCCCTCCCTCAGTGCCCCCCCGCAAGGCTGTGCCACACACCACTTTCTGAAAGCCTATCTCTGGCCTGTAGGGGAAGAGCCAGACTGCTCGGCCGGCCCCCTCGCCTCCTTCCATCCTCAACAGAGCGTGGCAGCCCCTCCTCTTGACCTGCTGGGAGTGTGCTTCCTGCACCTGCTTCCTCCCAGACAGAACCCACTGGAGCCCGGCAGGGCGGGGGGTTGGGGGGGTTGCTTCCATTCCCTAGGCTGGGGCTGTCTGCTCCTTCCCCAGCGTGCCTCCTTCTCTGGGCTCCCCGACACTAGACTCCACCCTCTCCTGGCCCCCACTGCCAGACTGTGGGTTACACAGTGAGTTAGTTACATCCATGGCTGGTCTCCGGGCTCGATGGGGAGCCCAGGACCCTGGGCTTGCACCACCACAAACATCGAATGATCCAGAGGTATCCGTTTCACACCCCATGCTCCCAGATGAGAAGGGTGCTCAGGACCCTCTGTGAAAGCTGAAGACACCCCCCACCATGGCCACGGCCAGTAACACTCCTTCTCTTCTGTTCCGCAGACGGTCCAGCCTGGTCATCACCACCAAGATCTTCTGGGGAGGAAAGTAGGTGCAGCAGCAGGCGATGCTCCCGGCTGGGGCCAGGATTCAAGGGGCTCCTGGGGGCGTGTGTGCAGCCGTCTGCCCTGGCTGATGCCCATCCCTATTGACATCACCTTCCAGAAAAGCAGCTTTGGCTGAGTTGCCTTTTACTCAAACCTTGTTTGATTTTTATTTTTACTTTCCTGGGTTTGTTATTTTTTCTGATTACAAAGGTAACATCCTAAAAATTCTGGAAAACACAGAAATTTCACAAACTGTCTAAACCATTCCACCCTCCCTGGACACAGACCATCCCTGCCAGTTTCCAGGGGTCTGTCCCCACATTCTCTCTAGGGCTTGACAAAATCAGCTTCATAGGAATTCTAAATACGATTCATTCTTAATTTAAAAAAAAAAATCCAAGGGAAACAGAAAGACAAATTGAAACGCAGACCCCCCCCCCACAGCCACCCCCTCCTCCCCCAGGATGGGGAACAGCAGCCCTTCTCCCAGCCACACGAGCATATCCGTGTAGCCTGTGGTTTATCCAAGTGGAATCGGACTGCACGTGGCATGCGCTGACCTACTTTTTTTTTTGCCTAACATTGCATCATAAACATTTTCCCCAAAACCGCTTGCAACATCACACACGCTATTGTCCTGTTTTTCAGAGCGGAGACGGAGAGGGGCCTTTCCAGGAAGCACATCATAGAAGGTGAGGGGGGAGCTCTGGCCCCGCACGGCCCCCCACACCCACGGCATCCTCATGCAGATGCATGAGTGAAGAAAGCCAAGTGCCCCCGCCCCACCACTGATGCACCCCGTGCTCTGGTCCGACCCTCCCCTTCCACCCAGGCTCCAGGGCATGAGAGCAGGGCCCCAGGTGCCCTCAGATGGGCAGCGTTGTCTCAGGGAAGACAAGACGGGCCTGGGTTGCAACTGGGGCCGGGCCCTGTGCTGACTGGGGATCCTGAGCAAGGGACCTCACTTCCCCAAGCCCCTGTGGCAACATCTGTAAAATGAGTGTGGGAAGAGTACCCACCTCTGGGGCTGTGGGGAATCAGGAAGAACCCAGGAGGTGTTGCGTGTCAGACAGAGCCGGGCACTCCGCACACAGGAGTGGAGAGAGAGGGAGAGAGGGAGAGAGGGAGAGAGGGTCTGGCTTATCCTATGATTGTATTGTCTTCATGCTTTTTCCATCTGTGCTCATTTTCATCAAGGTAATACACTCACTCCTTTAAAAATCAAATGATTAGGGGCGCCTGGATGGCTCAGTCGGTGAAGCATCTGCCTTCGGCTCAGGTCATGATCCCAGAGTCCTGGGGTTGAGTCCCACAGCATCGGGCTCCCTGCTCAGCGGGGAGTCTTCTCCCTCTGACCTTCCTCCGCTTGTGCTCTCTCTATCAAAATAAATATAGAAATAAACTCTTTAAAAAAAAATAAATGATTAGGAGGCTTTGCTGCCCACCCCCAGCACCAGCACTTGACTCTGCAGCTCTGTTCTAAGTGCTCATTGGTGATTTGTGCCTTTGGTGCAGGGACATAGATGCAGTTCCCCCTCCGTGTGGGACCACCTAGCTCTCCCTGTCCCCACGTGGGCCACCAGGGGGCCTAGGAAGTCACCCCTTCATTCAGTCACGGAGCATTTGGCCTCCCACCACCACCCGCTTTGGGGTGTGGGCCCCCTTCAGTCCTGGCTTTTCTTTTTTTTTTTTTTTTAAAGATTTTATTTATTTGACAGAGAGAGACACAGCGAGGGAGGGAACACAAGCAGGGGGAGTGGGGGAGGGAGAAGCAGGCTCCCCACCGAGCAGGGAGCCCGATGCGGGATCGATCCCAGGACCCCGAGATCATGACCTGAGCCGAAGGCAGACGCTAACGACCGAGCGACCCGGGCGCCCCTAGTCCTGGCTTTTCTTCATCTCAGGCGGGGCACGTGCCCACATTTATCTCCACACAGTCCGACAGCTCCTGGGGCCATGGGCCTCGCTTCTCTCTTCTCTTGCTCCTTGAGCCTCCAGTGCCTGGGTGAGGGCCCGGGAATGTCTGTGCCGAGGGTGACGGTCCCCTCTGACTCCTCCCCCCAGGTCTGAAGGCCTCCCTGGAGCGGCTGCAGTTGGAGTACGTGGACGTGGTGTTCGCCAACCGCCCAGACCCCAACACGCCCATGGAAGGTAGGTTCTCTCTGATGGCCGCTGCCCCCGGGGCCCCGCGGGGCACCCAGGCCGCTGGTCACAGGCGGCTGGGGGGGGCCGGTGGGGGTGAGCTCAGCCTGGGGGGGGTTCCTCACCGCCCACAGGTGCGCCCTGGTGCCTCCAGGCCGACACCCGCCCCGTCCTGGCTTTGGGTCTGTGCCTACTCCCCTCCCGGTTCCACGGCCCCTCCTGGGTTTAGAACTGTGTGGAATGTTCTCTCCTCTTAGCTGTTAATATTTTGTAGCTAAATGAAGTCACGAGAGATGGCTCTTTGCAACTGCTGTGTTCTTTCCAATCACATTCCCGATCTGCGGGGAGGCTTCAGGGGTCTTTTGCTCTGGGGGATAAATTGTTACTTAGAGGAGAAAAAAAAAATGTGCAGTGCTTTGGGAAACAGTTTTGGTTTCTTTGGCGCTTATTTATTCTTCCCACTCCCGCGATCTCCGCCCCTCCAACACCCCCCACCCCCCAACTTCCTGCTTCAGACTCTCATTTGTGCTTTGCTGCTTCAGGGATTTGGAAAATTAAGTTGGGTTCAAGTTATTTTTTCTTCATTTGTTTATCTATCTATCTATCTATATATATACCGTGCACACGTGCGTGTATATATATGTGTATGTGGTGTGTGTGGTTGGTTTGGGGTGTTTTTGTTTTTGTTTTTGTTTTTTAACAAAACAAGTTCCCTGTGAAGGAGATTTGTGCTTTCTTCCCCTGCCCTCTGTCATACCGCGCCTCTCCGTGTTCCCACAGCTATAAACTCTGGTCTCTTTAAATCTTTCTTTATCACCAGGGGACCCATTTAGTTCCTCCAAGTCAAGGACATTCATCATAGAAGGTACACAGTACCCTTAGCCCGACTATTGACTCCTGTGTCCAAGCTGCATTTTATGAGACAGTGGTTTTATTTACACCACTCTCTTCCCCCCAAGACAAACTTCTCCATAAAATGCATAAGGAAAAATAAGCGCCCTATGAGAACATCTTGCAAGTGAGGGAAAAGCAAAGCGGTGTGGAGCCCCGGCCCCCGCCCCTGCCTGGCCCGCCTGTCATTTCATCCCTCCGGCCCCCCGCCTCCCCCCACCTCCCCGTGCATGACCCGCCCCTCCTCCTCCCCCCCCCCCCCCCCCCCCCCCCTCCCTCCCCCGCCGTCCTCCGGCGGGGGGGGGGGGGGGGGGGCGGCTGTCTGGCTGTCTGCCAGGGCTCCTCTTGATTTGGGGATGCTGTGATCAGCGCCTGAAACCTTGACCCTGGATGGTCTGGGAGAGGGTTGGGGAGACCAGGGGCCCCCAGGAGCGAACATCAGGGACCCCAGAACATGTGGCTTCCAACAAGTCTTAACTTCATAGGGCATGTTTGCGAAGCTCCAGCCTCAAGCAGAAGCAAAACCTACCAGTGGCAAGCTGCCCCATCAGGGCACGCTGGCTCCTCCGTGAGCATGGCGGCCGCAGTGGGGCTCACGCCCCCGGACGGGCTGGGCCACCTGCCACTCTCACCCCTTGCCATGCAGCCTGACCCCTCCATCAAAACGGAGTCATTTGCCTCCTTGAACAATACCTACGTGAGTTGGCAAAACTCTGAGATGTGGAGCAGCCTCTGGCCGTGCTTGGTCTCTGCCTGCCCCTAAGCTAAGGGCCTCCCCAGGGCCCCGCATCGAGGGCAGGCCACAGTCTCCCCGGGAGCCAGGCTGCATCCCACAGAGGATGGGCTCCTGCCCGCCAACTGGCACCGCCACCTGCCCCTTCCCATGTATTATTTCTAACGGGGCAGTAGATGCTGTGGGTCCTGGCAGCAGCTAGACGGATTTGGTCCTGCTTCTGTTCAACAGCATTAAATATTGAGGTGAAGGACAGCTGTCCCTCGTTGTCCCTGTTCCTGGGGCCACCAACATGGGCGTGGGCAGAAGCACAGAGCGCCGTGCTCCCGTGTGTGAGCTGCACCGCCCGCCGGCCGCTGCCCAGGGACCCCTTCTCACTCAGGCCGGCCTCCGGCTCTCACGGGCTCCTGCCCCACCGGCCCCCAGGGGACTCCCCTCTCTGCACGGAAGGGGCGGTGCAGTGCACCATGTCCTGCCCCTCATTTCCCCCGGTCCGGAGAGAGCCGGGCTCTGGGGATTGAGAGCCAGCCAGGCTGGTGGATGAGATGCTGCATGGTCACCAGGGGCCCCTCAAGGTGTCTGTAAAGAACGTGACAAGGACAGCGGGCCGGGAGCCTAAGCTCGGCCTTGGATGTGGGCAGATCTCTTCCTGGGGCCCTCAAGCCTTCCGACAGGGGCGGTCTCCTTCGCACTGAGTGGTGTCGGGGGGGTCCCTGGGGGTCGGGGGTCCGGGCTTCCCTGCCAGCCCTCCTCCTGAGGAGAGGCAGAGAGGAGCCCAGTCCCTGATCTTGGAAGGAAGGAGAGGGCAGGGTTGGCCTGCAGGCCTGGAAGCGGACCTGGGCGAACCCACTGACACCAGCACCCCAGAAGCCCCAGCTACTTTAGCTTTCTACTGAAAGAGGGGACCTCAGCCAAAGGGGCACTCAGGGACCCAGGATGGGTGGGAAGTGACACCCCAAAACAGAGATGCTGCTCTCTGCAGGAGAAAGTGCCCCAGGGCTGGTGCCATTCCAAGGGGGAGCTTTGTGAACAGAGCCCGCCTTCTCCTTCCTTCCTCCGGCACTCCCACCTCCTGCCGTCTTCAGGGACCCCAGCATCCCCCCCCATCTCGGCAGCAGATGAGGAGCAAGCCACCTGGGGAGAGATGGGACTTCCAGGGGTCAAGGTTGCTGCTTCGTTTCTAGACACTTGTTCTTCGTCCCTACTTCCCGCCCTGCCTTTGGCAGTGGGACTTGCAAGCACTGTATGGGATCAGTGAGGAATCTGATGAGTACCCCTTCCCCCCATCCCCCGCAAAGCTAAGAGACAGCTCGAACTTTTTCAATTGGAGGCCGTCTGTTTTAAAAACCACAACATCCCCGTGGACTGAAACCGCCTGGCGTGGGAGCGGTAGGAAGGCTGTAACCGGCAGATTTCTATTTCTCAAAACCTTTTTTGAGTCCTGGGAAGAATCTGTCGTGTCGCGGGGGTGAGGGTCCCTTGCCTGATACCGAGCTGGTTTGAGAACCTGGGGCGGATACAAACGGGGCTTTCCGTGTCTACTTCCGGCTCTGGGGGACTCCAGGGGAGCTCCACTCCGCAGCCCCCACCCTCGGGGAGCATCCAGGGCCCCGCCCTGGCCTTTGTCCTGACAGATGCCACTGTGACCTCGCCGTTCAATCTCAGATCCCAGTGCGAATCTGGAATCGCCCGAAAAGGCAGTCAACTGTGGTGACTTCCCGTTGCCTTTTGCCAATCTGATCCTTCCCCCAAACTAGAGAACCCGCACCCCCCCTCGACAGTCCAAAACCGCATTCTCTGAACTCACCTCTCCCTCATCTCTCCAATCTGCCGTAGAGATGCCACAGTCCATCTAGAACCCATTTTTCAAAGACCCTTTACAGATACTTGTAACTATTTGGGGAAATGGTTTTCAAGACCGGCTTCTTGGATTGTGGTTCACTTTTTTTCCTGTGGTCCCTGAGAGCCCCTGCCACACCCGACTTTGGAGCCAGGAAGTACACTGCTTGCAAGACACCTTTGCAGCTCACCCCCTCCTCCTGGCGCCCCACCTGTATTTGCAGAATGTCCTCAGGCTGGGCCCCACGCCCCCGGTCACCTCGCCCCCAACCTGCGCTTTCCCCTTCTCTCCCGACAGAGACCGTGCGCGCCATGACCCATGTCATTAACCAGGGGATGGCCATGTACTGGGGCACGTCGCGCTGGAGCTCCATGGAGATCATGGTACGGCGGTGACCTCTCCACGTGTGTGTGTCCGTGGGGCATGGGCTCCTAGCCCCATTCTGGGGATGAACATCCAGGACTCTGGCAGATCCAGTGCCACTGGTCCCAATGGCATGGGTAACTGGGTCCTACAGCGAAGAACAGTTGGGTGACGTGCGGCAGCTACCTCCGCAGGCAGGGCTCTTAACTTGAATCCCAGCACTGTGTGGCCCTGGACAGATGGCTTAACCTCTCTGAGCCGTGGTTTCCCCACCTGTAGAACAAGACCACTGGGATAACCTAGCACCCCCCGCCCCAGGAGGCTGTTCTGAGGACTGTCAGAGAGAACAGGTGTGAAGCTCTCAGTAGAAGAGCTGGGGCTCAGCTAGCGCTCGGCAGCAGTAACTGTTACAGCCACTTGCCCTGAGCTTTCGTGATGCTCCAGTTGCCATTAGATTTGAGGGCCCGTGTGGACTAACTCCCATTTAATCCTCACAAGACCAGCACCCTACAAGGTAAGCGTCGCTGTCATCCTGTTTTTCCGGCGTGGGTGTGGAGGCTCAGAGAGGTTAAGTAATACACCCAAGGACCCGTGCTGAGGTCAGTCTCCAGCTCTGCAGCTCTGGGCCTGGGCTGCCTCAGAATGTGAGCTGCTGTTGGGAGCTCGGCTGCCACCTCGTAATCCCTGATGGTTCCCCTCACCCACACTTCCAGGAAAGCATCCCCTCCCCTGTCCCTTCCCTCCAAGGAGCCATCAGAGACAGAGGGCTGCAGATGTTTCTTGATATTTCTCGGTATCCGAGAAGGGGCAGCAGGGTGGCTGACCCCCCTACCCTCAGAGGCAGGCAGCTGGGGGCCCAGGGGGTTAGAGAGCAGAGGTCAGGGTACAAGGTCTTCCCAGGACTGTCTCCAAAGGCTGACCTTTCACCCCTGCTTCCAGGCCCCCTCCCAGCCTCTGCCCTTCCCATGCCCTTCCTCCCAGAATTCCCCACATCCTGGTGTCCTTGGAAGGGGGTTTCTCCTCTGGTGAGTCCCAGATTTCTGCTTCATCAAAAATATTAAGCAGAATTTCCAAGTTCAGCCCAATTCTAGAAGGCTGTGATTTTAATCTGCCTTTGGAATTTGCAGCATTAATGAGCATTTGGCATTTTTCTGAAGCTGCCTAGAGCCAGCACGGGGCTCACCGAGGTGTCAGTGTCTTATCCCCATTTTACAGATGCAGTAGCTGAAAACCAAAGGGGAAAGGGCCTCTCAGGCTGGCCAGCAGGGCTTCCCCAGGAGTCTGTCTGGAGACATCAGCCCTGGCTCACACCCATCCGGTGGGAGTGGAGGAAGAGTCAAGGCCTTGAGCTCCAAGTCCCAGAAATGGGCTGATGCCGGCCACTCTCCCCTCTGCGTAGCATTTCCTGCCACTGCCACCATCATCCCAGGGCTGGGGCCCTGGAATCATGATCTTGATAAAAACAGTAACAGCATAGCAGGCAGGCACTGTCCTGAAGGCTGTGAACAACGTTGGCTCATTTGAGCCTCAGCGACAGATGGGGAAACTGAGGCAGAGAGGGGCAAGCTCCTTGTCTAAGGCCACCCGGCCAATAAGTGCCAGAACCCACTCTCACAACTGAGTTGTGCATTCCCCCCATGCCCTTCAGCTGCGGGGTTCCCCCTCTTTTCCCAGCAGAGGAGGTGAGGGGACAGGCTGTTTCCCAGGAAAGCCGTGAATCTCCCCCAGGGAAGGAGGGTGGGGAGAGAGCAGGTGAGCCAGCTGTTCCCTGGGGATGCCTTTGTGTCTCCTGCCCCGTGCTGCCCAGGCAGCCCCCAGACCCACTGACGGACAGGTACCATCCATGGCCCTATCTGCACCCCCAGGAGGCCTACTCCGTGGCCCGGCAGTTCAACCTGATCCCGCCCATCTGCGAGCAGGCCGAGTACCACATGTTCCAGCGCGAGAAGGTGGAGGTACAGCTGCCGGAGCTGTTCCACAAGATAGGTGCGCTCCCCCGCCGGGCCCCACCCTTCCCCCTCCCCCCTTCCGCCTTCCCCCTATTTCCCTCGCCCCGCCCGCCCCCTCCGCCCCCTCCTCCATCCCTGGTTCCGCCCCCGCCCCCCCTGCCCCTCTTTCCATCTCGCCCCGCCTCCTCTCTCCCTTGCTCCGCCCCCTCGCCCCCGCCCCGCCCCCGGAACCCTGGGCCTGACCTCGCCTGGTTTTCCATTCCCAGGAGTGGGTGCCATGACCTGGTCCCCTCTGGCCTGCGGCATCGTTTCCGGGAAGTACGACAGTGGCATCCCGCCCTACTCGAGAGCCTCCCTGAAGGTGAAGGAGCAAGCGGCCAGGCTGGGAGGAGGGGACGGGCAGGCGACAGGCATTTTGGCCTGACGGGGCTTTGGGTCCGCCGCCCGGGGCACGCTGGGCCACTGCGGGGGCGGATCGAGGGCAGGGGAACCTGGAGTCCCTGCTGACCAGATCCCACCTCTGGAAAGGCTGCCGTCTTCACGGGATGCGCCCCAGCTGAAAAAGCCCTTCCACTCCCTCGCCACCCCCCACCTCAGTTCAGTACCTTCACAGCCTGGGCTGGGTCCACCTGTGCTATTTGGGGTGGCCCCTGCTGCGGACAGATTCCCCCCTGCACATTCTGTGGCCCATCCCGAGACCTCTGGGCTGAGGGCTGTAGAGCTGCTTCACTCATCACTCAGGGGTGATCTCCTGGGACGAGTGCCCCCCAGCATAGACACATCTCTGCAGTGGGGATGCAGGAGGATCTCCAAAATGCAGGGGAGGAGGGGCAGGCAGAGAAAGGCCTACCCAGGTCAGGGCAGATCCAGCCCCGGAGCCCCCCTGCCTCGGGTTCGAGGGCAGGATGGCCTGTCCCACCCACTCCTGCCCAATCCACAGCAGAGTCAGGGAGTTCCCTGGAAGGCATTGCAATCCCAGGGGTGAAACCACAACTCCCCCAGAGCTTGGGAAAGGGGCCCTCAGGGCCAACAGCCAAAGCATTCCTTCCCGGGCTGCCCGCCTCCTCGTCCTGGCTCAGGGGCCCAGCCTCAGCGAACCCACAGGCTTTGGGCTTCACGTTCAACAGGCCCCGTCCTTCCAACTGCCCAGCTCTGTTCTACAGGAGACGCGGTTGGGCAGGGCGTGCGGATGCTGCCTTGGCACACATCGCAGCCATCTGCATACAGAGGTCCAGGTGACCTGCGCTCACCTGTGGGCTGTGCTCTTCATCCCCCACACCCAGGGCTACCAGTGGCTGAAAGACAAGATCCTGAGTGAGGAGGGCCGGCGCCAGCAGGCCAAGCTGAAGGAGCTACAGGCCATCGCCGAACGCCTGGGCTGCACCCTCCCCCAGCTAGCCATAGGTAACGGGACTTGGGGGGTAGGGTTGACCGTTGTCCCTGGGGCCGCTGCCTCCATTAGCCAGACATAGATAATGGGTCCTGACATCCGTGGGGAGAGAAGGGTGGGGGGCCACCTCTCCCCCCCCCCCGGAAGCCGTTGGGGGGGGGGGGGCCCCGTGCGCGGGGGGCCCCCCCCCCCCCCCCCCCCGGAAGCAGTTGGTACCAGGGCTCTCCCAGAGCCCTGTCCAGCCCCATCCCCCCGCCACCCAACATGCTGGACCCTCCTGGGTACCCTCACCCCCACGACCGAGAGGCTGGATCTCTGTGGCCCAGTTAGGGACAGGGCAGAACCAGGAAGGGCCCCTGCACTGGGTGTGGTGTGTGTCCCTCACCTCTGGTCTTCCTGCCCCAGCCTGGTGCCTGAGGAACGAGGGAGTCAGCTCCGTGCTCCTAGGTGCTTCCAGCGCAGACCAGCTAATGGAGAACATCGGAGCAATACAGGCAAGTTGGGGAGGGGGCTGCTGGATGTGTCCCCCCAGGCCCTTGGTCCGAACTCAGGGCCGCAGTCAGTCATTCATCCAGCCCATGTTTTTTGGGCACGTGCAATGTGCCAGGCACTGTTCTAAGTGTCTGGGCTACAGCAGAGATCCCCCAGAAGCCCTGCTCTGGAAGATCAGTGAGCACTGAATGCAAGACATGGGGAAGTTAGAATCTGAGGGTGGAAGGCCCTCGAGCAAGGGCAGGCTTAGGGTCAGGTTAGGTGGGCACACAAGGGAGGGCCGTGGGCCCAGGCTGAGGGGGCTCGTGGGGTAGGCTTGTTGAGAAAGTGACAAGTGAGCAAAGTCTCCGAAGGTGCGGAGTGGGACCTGCAGACACCTGGAGGACACCGGTCCAGGAGCAGAGGGGACACAGGTGGTACCAGTGGGCGTGGCCTGGAGCAGAGGGGGCGGGGCAGTGCCCGGGACACTAGGGACTTTGGTGGTGGTTGAGTGAGACAGGAGCCCCCGAGAGCTGAGGAGGGGCCCAATCCCCACCTACATTTTAAAAGGATCCCTTTCTCCCCGGCTGCTGAGCGGAGGAAAGGCTTTAGGGAACAGGAGGGGGTGCAGGGAGATCCGCGGGGAAGTGACAGCAGACCCCCTCAGAGAGGGTTGGATCCTGGGTGTTCAGGAAGGGGTGTCTGGCCCTGGACTCTGTATTTTGTGCCTTCTAGATGGTTCTAAAGCATTCTGGAGCTTGAGGCACAGAGATAAACCCCAGGCAGGCTTCCTCTCTGCCCCAGACCTTCTGGAACACAGAAGCAGCATAGCCAGCCGATGCTCCGGCTAGAAGCATGATGTGATGAGGCAGGACAGGCCAGCGGTGGCTGGAAGATTGTCACCCAGCCTCCTCCGAAGGCCAGGCCAGTCTTGGTGGCATTCTGATTAGCTCTTCTCCTCACACACAGGTCCTTCCGAAACTGTCATCTTCCATTATCCACGAGATTGATAGTATTTTGGGCAATAAACCCTACAGCAAAAAGGACTACAGATCCTAAGAAGCCCCCGGCCGCTTGCCCGGACACTTTCCGTTTCCCTCCTAGTCTCTCTTGTTCGCTCGCTTAAGCTGTTTTGAAGCCATGTCAGGGGTGTGGTTTGCATCAAAAAGAAAACATCACAGCGAGATGTCGTCGGGGAAAAGATCTCAAAAGTTGCTGCAAGACACCATTCGCTGCTTCGCGGGACCGAACTCAGATCCATGCCCGGGAGACCGCGTTGACGGGGCAGGATGTTGGAGCCGTCCCGCCTGAGCCCGCCTGAGCCCGCCTGCAGCCTCTGCTCGCCCTCCAGGAAGAAAGCACCACGGCTGCTCCTGGCCTCCGCCCTTCCCAGAGACGCCTCCAGTCCAGGCCAGGCTGAGACCCGGTTGGGTCCTGGGGGCAGCAGGGCTAGCCTCGCCTCTGCTGAGGACCCCCACCTGGTGTCAGGGGTGGGAAAGAGGAAACCAGGCCTGGCTCTTCCCGTGGCCCCCTCCGCTGGGGGTCTCCCTCACCCTCCTTCTTGCCAAGGGCTCCCAGCATTTTACGATGGGCCTGACTCCAGATTCATTCTGCACCCGCTTCAGCACCGCCACCTGCCCCCACGGGTCTCTCAGGGGCTTTCCGAGCGGTCCCTTGATCCCCACCCGCCCCCCCTTGCTGGCAGGGGCTGAGATCCAGGAGGATTCACTATCAGGTGGGGCCCACAGGAAGTTCGGGGGTCTAACTGAGCTCATAGCCCTGCCAACTTCCTCCCTGCACACAGTTGATGAGCCCCATGCCCAGAGCAGCCCTGAGCGCTGGGGAGGGGCCTGAGGAGCAGGCTCCAGCCTAGGTCCCTCCAGGCCCCCACCTGCCCTCCTGGCCAGGTGCTCTGTCCACCGCCCCTCTGTCCTGGCCGCACAAGGCCCTGAGGTCGCGCATACGTAGCTGGACTGTGGCTGCCCGCCACGTGCAGGGAGCACACCTCTGCTCTGCCTGGGCAGTGGCCTCGGGTCTGCAGCGAGACGACACTTAGGCCTTCCAGGGAGGGCGGGTCCCTGGGGGTTTCTGTGCTGCACGCCCAGGGGCTGGAGGGCCTGAACATCTAGCAGGAGCCCCCACAATCTAGGAAAAGCCCCCCAGGAGCCTCTCCCTGGAGCAGTGCCTTCTTCAAGGCCTCCGATCTGGTCGGGGTGAGGAACCCCATGTTAGGGTGCTAAGTCTGGGTGCCCAGAGCTGCTTCCCTGGGCAGACAGGCAGCACTACCACCCCCGGACCTCCACACACAGCCCGGGAAGAGGTCACGATGGCTGGGGTTAGTCATTCCCTGCCGTGCACCCCACTCCCCCCACCCCTCCTCCAGGCTGGAACAGACTGAGGCCAGGGAGTTGGGGAAGGACAGACAGAAGCGTCAACCCCAGGCTCGGAGGATAGAGGAGGGGAGGGGCCTGCAGCCAGGAGTCCCAGCCCCCACGGTCCTGAAGTTTCGGCCTCTGCTGGCTATGTGGGGGTTAGGGCCGGGAGCCCACGCTGCAGGACGGCTGTGTACCTCCAGCCCGGGCGGCCCCCACCCTGACACCCCCCACACCCTCACCCCCACCACAGCAGGCACAGCCGGGCCTGCTTTGCCCTTCAGACAAGCTGCTGGTGGAGAGGCTCCTCCCTGCCATTCTCAGAGGGCCTACTGGCCCGTCCTGGCTGGGCTGAGGCCTGAGAAAGCCACACATGCAAGGGGGGGAGGCAGGGAGGGGGGACAACTTCCATTCCTGACATTTGCGCTGACCCTGGAGTCTAGAACCCTCCCTCCTCCTCCCGGACCAGGTCCCTGGGGGTCATCTGCACAGTGTGGGTGTGGGGAGGGGGCGAGCCTGTCCCCGCAGGGCCCCCCCCACCTGTGGCCACTCCCACCACCGCATGGGATGGGCAGGGACCCAGTGCCCTGGGCCAGGCAGCCCTGGCAGTACCGAGGGAGCGGACTGCCCGCCCCTCACTGGGGAGAGGAGCTGGGCCCCCTTCACACTGCTGCCCCCCAGGCTGCCCACTGCCGGAGGATGGACCAGGGCTTGCGGTGGGGCCCGAGGGAGCAGCCGCTGCCCCCTCACCAGGAGCCACACCTGGGAAGGCCCCAGGTTCACCAGAAGGAGGGGAGGGCCCTCAGAGTGGAGCCGGGCCAAGGCCGAAACGCCCATTGTCAGGACCCAAGCAGCTTCCTGGCCCCCCAGGGCGCCGTCCACAGCCTGGTTCTGAGGTGTCCTCTCTTTCCCACAGCCACTGGCAGGGATGACAGGGCTCTGCTTCCTGGGGGAAGGCCCCGGACTCAGAAGGGGGCTGGTGTGGGGGAGGGGCTCAGGGGGGGCCCAAGGGCAGCCAGAGTCTGGAGACAGAAGGCCAGGCAGAGGCAGGCCCTGGAGTGGCCCAGGCCCCACCGGGAGAGACCGCTCCCTGGGAGCCCCAGCTGCCCGCCCACCAGCCTCTGGCCCTCCCCTTGAGGCAGAGTTTGCCCGAGGGGGCCCCTGGGGAGCACCCCACACAGGACGGAGGCCCAGGCTGAGGGCAGGGCTGGGCTCAGTCTCCCTTGCTGACACGCGGAGCCCCCCGCCACTTCTCATCCCAAACCCCGTGCGCATCCGAGGTCCCGAGGAACGACAGAGGGGCTTACTCCGTCTTCTGTCCTCTTCCCGTCGTCGTGTAAATAATGCGCTTTTCTCCTCTCCCCGTTTTTTTAACGACTGTGACTCCTCAGCTAAGTGCATTCCCTACCGTAGGCAGAGACGGCCTCACACCTCGTGCTCGCAGACGACACCCGGCCGAGGTACAGCCACCGTTATTTATGGAATGACAAATAAAACCCCAGCCTGTCGGGGGTCTGCGGCTTTCTGCTCCTCTCGTCTCCAGGGGCCGCGTGGGCAGTGGGGAGGCGGAGTTGGGGGGAGGCTGCCACCTGCAGGGGCCGGCAGACTGGGCCCCCTGAAATCCTGACCCTGGGGCAAAGGGTCCAGTTGGGAAAAAGGGCCCTGGCGGGGGCGGGGGACTGAGACTGGGGACTCTGAGGCCTGCCACCGCCCAAGCGATTCGGGGATAGGGTGTCCCCCCAGTACCCTGCACACACACGTTCTCTGTTGCCGGGAGCTACTGTGTTGAGTGCAGTGAGATCAGGGTCCAGGGAGGCCTCCAGGGTGCCACTGGGCGCTCAAGGTTTCTCTGATACCATGTTGTTTGCATTTAGGGGTGCAGGCAGGAGATACAGGCACCGCCCCCTCATGGGGCCCCCCCTTTCCCAGCAAGCCCCTCGGCCTCACGAGGCCATGTCTTCTCAGGTGGGAGGCAGCTTCGGATGACACCCCATCCCCCACAGGCTTCCCCCGTTTCTAGCTCCCACCCCCATATCTTAGATGAGTGAGGATCTAGAAAACACTTTGATTGAATCCTTTCCCAAAGGATTTATTAAAACACAGAAAACCAAGACACACACACAGAGTACAAAGTAAAGGGGATTGTGTCGGCTGCAGACCCTGTCCAGCCGCCCACGTGTCCTGCCAAGGACGGGACAGGTCGCCACTCCTGGGGGCTCAGCTTCTGGCTCCAGCCCCCTAGCTGGGACCCTCCCAACTCACCCCAAAAGCCCCCGGCCCCTTTGCTGGCCTGGGGCTATAACCAGGGCCAGGGGCCCGGGCCCCTTCGCTGGGCCAGATGCCAACCTGGGTGGGGGTCTGCCCCCTCACTCCCCCCCCCCCACGCTCCAACGCACAGGGGGCAGGACCCTTCCCTCACCTCCAGCACACAGGAGCTGAGGGGGGCTGGGGGCCCCCAGCTCCACGTCAGGGGTTCAGGACACACACACACACCCAACGGGCCCTTTCTGGGTTATCGCACCTAAAAAAATACTTTTGTTTAAAAAAAATCTGAAAACTAAAAAAAAACCCAAAACACAACGCCAATGACTTTGGGCTGATGCACCACGACCTGTAAACTTGCGGAAATAGAAAATGGGGCGGGAGCCAGCTTCCTCGCTGGAGACCACGGTGGCCGGGGGACAGCCGCAGGCGCGGCAGGGGGACCGGAGGCCGAGGCCAGGCCAAGACCTCACAGCCCCGCCTCCCAACCAAGCCCCGCCCCCTGCCCAGGCTCTGGAGGCACTGCTGTCCCTGAGCCCACCCTCTCCATGACCCTCCCGGGCCCTCAAGAGCCCTGGGCCCCGACACTTGGGAGCAAGAGCTACAGGGTCACGGGGGCAGGACTCGACCAGCCAGTCCGGGCTGGGGAGGCCCCAGAGGACGCCGGAAAGGGACCCCCCGGAGAGCAGGAGGGCAGGCACCTGCACCAGGTGTGGGTATCAGCAGGACCTTGGTTGTAACTTGCAGGAAGCCAAGGAGCTTCTGAAGGGGGCTTGCAGAGAGGGTCTCCTCACAGGGACTGCACTTGCGGGGCAGGTATGTGCGAGAGGGGGGCCCTCCGGACATGGTCAGTCCAGCCCACGCGCCTCTTGTCACCTGGGAGCCTAGCAGGCAATGCGTTCTGAAACTGAGGCCCAAAGGTGGTTCGACAGAAAGCCTACTCAGCACTGGTTTAAATAATAGGGTGGCTGGAAACAAAAATGCGGGCTGACGCTGTAGGATTCTGCTTGTACACAAAGCCCCTTGTTCTGTCAGCAGCAAAAACCAAACCCAGCTGGGAGATGCCAAAGCCCGTGGATGCCCCTCTCCCCCACCACCCCTTGTGGCAGGAGGTAACTGATAAACTAAGAAGAAAACAGTCTGAGATCCATTTTCCTCTCCCAAACCAGCCGACCAGAAACCCCCTCCCCAACTGCCCGAAGCCCCCCTCCCGGGCCTCCAGGTGCTGACTGTGCAGAGCTGAGCCCTTCCCAGACCTGGCCATTGCACACACCCAGCTCCAGCCGAGTAGAGGAGGGGGAGGCCTGGCATGGAAGCACAGATGGGGGGACAGAGGGAGGCTTCCTGGGGAGGAAGGGCTGACAGCAGGGGGACCACCAGCCCTTGGGGCAAGGCAGTGGAGATGCAGGCCCCTGCCCTGCCACCACCATGGGCCTCCTGGCTGGACACTCAAGACCCACCCACTGTGGCCAAGGTGGGGGGCCAGCACTGTGCCCAATGAGGCCAGCCCCAGGGCTGACTGGAGGTCTGGGAGGGAGCGTCACAGGGCTCTGGGTTGGGGAGGGGGCTCATGTGGTCACCTCGCCGGAGGCCTGAGCCAGGAGCCTGTGCGCGTGGCACCCACAGGAACCCCAGTGGACTGGGGCAACCCTGCCCTTCCCAGAAGGCGAGGCCAGCGCTGCAACAGGCCCGTCAGGAAAGCTGCGTGCCGCCTTCAGGGTGTCACCACCGCGCTCCCCGGCCCCCCCCCCGCCACGGTGCCGGGGCCGACTCGGCCTGGGAGGTTCTGAGACTGAAGCGAGGGGACACCAAGATGGAAAAAGCTCTGGGCTCCAGCCCTCAAGGGGTTCACAGAGAGCACCCGGGGCCCCATGAGGGCTGGCTGATTGCCCAAGAGGCCCCCAGACAGACCCCCAAATCTCGGCCCCTCCTGGATTCTGTAGCCAGGACACTTCCCCAGGAAGCCCCTTGCCCAAGGCTGGGAAAACCCTTCCAGGCTGAGCCAGGCAGAGGAAGCACCGGACACAGACAAGCCCAGGGCCTGGCCCACTCCCCCCGCCCCAGCAGGGCCCTCACGGGAGACCACCGGCTGAGCGCGGGAGGGGGGCCGGTGGGGGTTCCCCAGAGAAGACGAGGCAGGAAGCCTGGATGCTCCAGCTCAGAGGGCTGGACAGCCATCAGGTCCAGTCCCCCGCCTCCGAGCCCAGCTTTCCCCAGGCCCTCCGACAACACAGCGGGGGCAGCTGTGGCCCCGGGCCGGGCGGCAAGTGACCATATCGGGGCCTCTCCACGGACAGGGGGACAGGCGTAAGTCCGGGACCCAAGGGGTGGCCCAGCTTCCTTGCATCTGTGGCCATGAGACTGAATGGGGAGTGTATACCGAGAGGGGGATGTGACGGGCCTCCCAGGGCACGGGGCAGGACCAGGGTCTCCAGGGCCACCCTCAGTGCCACAGTGACCTGCCCTGCTAGGATGCTACCACACCGCAACAGAGGGCAAGCCCCTTCCCGCAGAGGCTGAGACAGGCTCTCAGCCCCTACGCTACGTGCGCGGGCTCCGCTCCTCCCCACCTCCTGGGAGCACAGGCTGCGTGTGGCCTGCCACGTAGCACGACAGCCATCCGCTCTGCTAACACAGTCCAGGGCCTGCAAGACATGATGGGCCAGGGACAGACACCTGCTGACAGGCTCCCCTCCCCCACAGAGATAGCACATACCTGGTGGTCTCCAGCCCCGGCAGGAAGGGGGTGGAAGATACCCCAGCCCCGGGCACCAGCTGAGGTCTCTACCCTGGGGGCTGGGCAGCCACTCCTCAGTCCTGACCCATCCAGCACTGGGGACCCCCGAGGGGCAGGGGGGCCAGAACACGGGGAGTCAGGCCACATGGACGGGATGGGGTGGGCGGGGGCACCCAAAGGGCTCCCCAGGCGGGCTGAGTCCCCGGGCCAGCAGCAGCGTTTCTAGGATCTTCCCTTGAAGTCTGGAGCCCGTTGACAGAGAGACGTGAGTGCTGCAGGTTAGACCCCTCCATGCGTCACTCAACTTTTATATCAAGACAGACTCGTTCAAGTCTTCAATAGGAAAGTGCAAAAGATGTACAAATAAATGAAATCTCCTCTAAGAAGTTGTCCGGCAAAGGTGGCCAAGGGGTACGTCCCGGTGTGGGGTGGGTGTGACGCTGGGTGGGACACTGGCATGATGATGAGGTGGCACTTCTGGGCTCCGGCCCAGCCAGGCTGGGCCTCGTCCCCCATGTGATGGCATTTTTCAGTTTCCCTTTCCGTCCCAAGATGGCATGGCTCCTAAAAAGGCGGCAGCTTTTCTCTCCTGTGGGGCTTGGGCAGGTGGCCCAGCAGGCGTGGCTGCAAGAGGCCGATCACGGTCACCTCGCTGAGCAGCCCGGTCTTCTTTAGAGGGGAGCACCCACCACCCGTCCCAGCCAACTCCCATCAGAAGGAGCTCCCGAGCCAAGACCTCGCTGCCACACTTGCAGGGCCCAGAGAGGCCCTAGGGAGAGAGCGTTCTGAGGGGGCGGTTGGTCTGGAAACCCCCAGCGCCTCCACCCCGAAGTGGCAGTTCTTACAAGGATGCACAGGGCTTGGGGGACCCAGGGAGAGGAGGCCGGAGGGAACTAGTGGTTTTTCGGAAGTAAGCTCCCCTCTCCTAGCCATTAACCCTTACCCCCTCCAACGCCGAGCCGCCCTCCTTGCCCTGGGCAGGGAGCTGATGTCCTGGGGCACCCACCACCCCGCTGGGCAGTGGAGGCAGACCCGTGCAGACCGGGTTTGGGGCTGACTCACTGCCGTGGACACGCGTGCGCACTGACACTCGGGAGGCACGCCCAACAGAATCAGGGCTGATCCTGGCCAGGCCTGACTCGCCAACCCGAGGAGGGGGACAAGGGACCGTGGGCCGTGCAGGTGCAGGCTTACCTCAGCTGGAAATGAGCACTGCAACAGAGGGAAATCGCGGGGGCAGCTAGATATCTGTGAGAGAGAGAGAGAGAGAGAGAGAGAGAAGCTCGGCTTGCCTGGGCTGGTGGCGGGCAGGCCAGGCCCCCGAGGGGCGCCCCTGCACGTGCTGCCCAGAAGCGGCGGGCACCTACCGGTCACATAGGGCCCCAGGGGCATCTGGTTGTAGTTGACAATCCCTCCCGGTCCAGGGCCCCGGAAGTTGGGCCCAAAGTTGTTGTTGTACATCTGGGAGTTGCCGAAAGCGCCCTGGAGGCAAGGACCCAGGTTTAAAGG